GAGGGCAGGGGAACACACTGTGGGGAGGGGGACTATCAAGTCCCCAGCAGAGGAAGGAGAGGAAGTGGTGTCTCCCCTCAACCTGGCAGGAGTTCTGCCCCCTTCCTGTTTCAGCAGAAACTGCAAAGCAGGAGATAAGCCTGCTCCCCTCAGCTCCGAGCAGTGGCAGGTGCCCAGGAGCTTTGCAAAGAGGACCGTTCCAGGCACAGTAGTGCCGCCCTATGCACCTGCCCTGGGGGACAGCTGGAAGGTCCCACACTTGGGGTCTCCAGAACCACTCCTACCCCACCCCCAGCCCCTCTGCTGAGATCACTTCACCCCTACTCCCAGGACCTGAAACTCACTGTGAGTTGCTGGGAACATGCAACAAAGATGAGCCTCCGAGGTCAGTGCTGGTGTCAAGAATGAAGGTGATTACTCACGCTCTCAGGAGGGCCTGATCCAGTACCGAGCAGCAACTGTTCGGCCAGGCAAAAGGGGAAGGGGGCACTGAACCACCAAGAGGTTAAAGCAAACCACAACAGGGACTGATGAAAAATCCTGCACTTTCCAGATAAGCCAACACTCAAGTCCAGGGTCAGAGGGCACAGCCTGGCAGTGGCTGGAACCAGACTGAGGGCTTCAATGGGGCGAGCACAGGGTGGCGGTGCTGGGAAGAGGATGGAAACCCAGGTGCGCTGGCAGAGGTCGTGGAGTGGGGAGGGGACAGATCTACCCGGCTGCCTGCAGGAACCCTGGATACCACCCTCTGGGAGAGTGCAGAGCACTGGTATCTTTCTCCAAGATGTGTCCCGTTGTCATGGGAAGCACAGCTGGAGGAAGAAGAAAATTTTCCCGGATAAGCAGTGCTTCTAGAAGAGATAAATGACTGTTCTCCAGGTGGCAAGAGCGTGGCCCAGACCCGCCCGGCCTAGTGAAGGGCAGTCGTGGCCCTAGGATGCTGTACCTCATCTGCTCCTGCCCTCTCCCCCACATCCCAGGTGCCAGAGACTTCTCAGACCAAGGAAGTCCTTACACAGGCCCAGCCCTTGCCTCCCTGTCCTGGGCCCAGTGGAAGTAGATGCCGAGTACTTGGGTTTGGCCTATCCCTCTGCTGTGTCACCTGGCACCAAATCACCACCTCTCCAGACCTGAGATTTCCTGGTCAGTAAAATGGAGATGACCACCCGGCCCCATTCATCCATTCTTCACTCATTCAGCAAAGCCTTCTCAGCACTGGGCTGAAACTCACCTTCCCCAGCTGAGGCTCCCAGGGACTCAATGAGCACCCAGGAGGGGGCCTGGCACAGATGCCCAGTTAGTGCCGCCAAGCCCACCACCTCAGGACTGTGGCCCCTGACATCTGGGGACTCTCCTAAGCTCCTAGGTGCAGCCTCCATGGCTGGGCGGAGGATCAATGGCTCCGAAAGAACACCTGATGCATGTCTTAGCTCTACCTGCGGTCACTCTGCTTCCTTGTCAGCAGATCTCATGATACAGAGGCAAGCCAGGCATCGCTGGCTCAGCACACTCTGCACAGCATGTGCGACATGCACTCAGCACCTCCCGGGGCACAGCGCAGGGTAGGTGAGGGGAATGGGCAAGCAAGCCCACATGCGGGCCAGTCAGAGGGCAGCGAGGCGCTGCTGTCTGTAACACGACAGTCATAATGGCATCTGCCTCACAGGGTTGTTGTAGAAAGTAAGTGGATTTTGCTTGCCCCAGAGTTTAAGGCTGGGTTCCTCCAGCAGCTGACTCCGAAAAAGGGATTTAAGTGCAGGCTGTTGAAAAATGATCCCAGCATGTACCTTAAGGGAGTGGAGGCCGGCGCCACGGCTCAATAGGCTAATCCTCCACCTAGCGGCGCTGGCACACCGGGTTCTAGTCCCGGTCGGGGCACCGGATTCTGTCCCGGTTGCCCCTCTTCCAGGCCAGCTCTCTGCTGTGGCCAGGGAGTGCAGTGGAGGATGGCCCAAGTGCTTGGGCCCTGCACCCCATGGGAGACCAGGAGAAGCACCTGGCTCCTGCCTTCAGATCAGCGCAGTGCGCCGGCCGTGGCGGCCATTGGAGGGTGAACCAAGGGCATAAGGAAGACCTTTCTCTCTGTCTCTCTCTCACTGTCCACTCTGCCTGTAAAAAAAAGGGGGGGAGTGGAAAAGTGAGATGGGGAGGAAATCAAAAGAGTCTAGGCTACCTTCGTGGGCAGCTGGGGATCAACCCTGCTGGGGGTATCTGCAGGCAACCCCCCCATATCTTCTGCAGGCAAGGAAGCTGGATGCTGCGGTAGGGAGCAGAGGACTGTGGGAAACCAGGCTCCTCTCCACCTACAGGAGCCCCTCCAGGCCTCTGCATACCCCGCAGAATGACAATGACAAATCAAGCTCACGTGGGAGCGAGGGGTTCCGGGGCGGAGCTCACCTGAGGCCGATGCTGATTAAGCACCTTCACACACTCCTGAGACACACCCAAAGGGCTCCCCTCTGGAAGACTTGCCCCTCTCTCACCACCCTGGTGGGGACCTGAGACCACCTTCTGATGTCTTTTTATTTGAAAGTCAGAGTGACACAGAGAGAAAAGGAGAGGCAGAGAGAGAGAGGTCTTCTATCTGCTGGTTCACTCCTCAATTGGCTGCAATGGCTGGAGCTGTGCCCATCCGAAGCCAGGAGCCAGGAGCTTCTTCCAGGTCTCCCATGTGGATGCAGGAACACAAGGACTTGGGCCATCTTCTATTGCTTTCCCAGGCCACAGCAGAGAGCTGGATCGGAAGTGGAACAGCCGGGACTCGAACCAGTGCCCATATGGGATGCCAGCACTGCAGGCAGCAGCTTTACCTGCTACGCCACAGCGCCGGCCCCTTTCTGATTTTGTAAGCAGGCTGGTTGCAATCTAATTGGCACTTGAGCGTGATCCTTCCAGCTGGGGACAAAAGTCGGGAAGTAGGGCCACCACAGTGGGAGACCCACAGGTTCTCCAGTTGCCCTGATAACACTTCCTGGTGTGATTACGAGCACCGGACCATTTAGGTCTCCCTGCAAGGGCAGGGAAATTAAGAAACTGGATGGGGGCCGGCGCTGTGGCATAGAGGATAAAGCCACCGCCTGCAGTGCCATCATCACATATGGGCACCAGTTCGAGTCCCGGCTGCTCCATTTCTGAACTGGCTCTCTGCTATGACCCGGGAAAGCAGTAGAAGATGATCTAAGTCCATGGGCCCCTGCACCTGCATGGGAGACCCAGATGAAGCTCCTGGCTCCTGGCTCCTGGCTACAGACCAGCACAGCTCTCTGGCCATTGCAGCAATCCAGGGAGTGAACCATAGGATGGAAAACCTCTCTCTCTCTCTCTCTCTCTCCCTCTGCCTCTCTGTAACTCTGCTTTTCAAATAAATAAATAAATCTTAAAAAAAAGAAAGAAAAAGAAAGAAACTGGATGGATCCCACTCATCTGAGAATTGGGAGAGCTGGGCGAGACAGTGTCTGACCTGCTTCTGCACTGGGGGGACGGGAGACAAGGGCACTGAGCCTACAGACGGAGCTTCTTGGAAGGGCACGGGGGCAGGAACTGACCACGGGATCAGTGCACACAGTTGGCTCCATCTCTGTCGACGTGGAGGGACAGGGGAGAAGCCAGGCCACAACCGTCCCCTAGGGAGGACTCGGGTGGAATCCACTGGGAGGCATATTTGAGGCCGTGGCACAGGCTAACAGGCGGGATGATTATAAAGGATTGGCAGTCCACTTCACCATTCCCCAGGGACCTTTGTCCAGGAGAAAAGACACCCCGTGTCCCAGCGGACACTCCATTCGGCAGCAGAATGACTCAGCAGGTGCAGGCTGGGCTCAATGCTGAGACACCCTGGCTGGGTAACCTTGGACAACTTCCCAGGCCCTCTCCTAATCCCATTCCTGGGAACGCTGAAGGCCATCCCCAAGCCGGTCCAAGAATAACATTGGAAAGAGCTGAGATGCAGTTAATCACTTCCAAAACGTTTTTCCTAAGAAAAAAGGGTGCTGGGAATAAATCATAGCTCCCACGCAAAGGGGCCTCGAGTCAGTCTCCTCCAGGCGCCAAAATCCTGCCCACTGGCCAGGCCACAAGCACTCAGTGTACAACGCACCTTCCAGGTGAAACCAACAGGAGGAGGGGGAGGTTCACACACAGGCGCTCAGGGATGGCCCAACCATGGGACAACAGTGGTGCATCTTAGTGATACCAAACTTCTCTCAAAAGGTTTACACGTGGGACAGGGAGAGCCACGGACTGAGCACGAAAGCACAGTCAGGAAGGGACAGCCGGGGTGCGATGCCCAAGCCACTCACTCCGGCAGTCAGCACTCCGACAGGATCGCTGGCGCAAAACCACTGTTGTTCGGGGCTGTGCCATAGCAGGTGAGGCTGCCACCTGCAGTGCCGGCATCCCATATGGACACTCATTCGAATCCCGGCTGCTCCACTTCTGACCAGCTCTCTGCTATGGCCTGGGAAAGCAGTGGAAGATGGTCCAAGTCCTTGAGCCCCTGCACCCATGTGGGAGACCCGGAAGAAGCTCCTGGCTCCTGGCTTCAGATCGGTCAACTGGGGAGTGGGCCAGGGGATGGAAGACTACCACCACCACCACCACCCCCGGCGCCTCTCCTTCTCTCTGTGTGTAATTCTTTCAAATAAATAAATAAATCTTAAAAAAAAAAAAAAACACTGTTGTCACAAAGGAGAAAACTCAGGCCCAAAGAGGGCCAGGACCCTGAGCAACCGCACGGGACGGACTCCCATGGAGCTTTTCCCAATCCTCTTCTCTCCCAGAAATGGGTTCCCGCCCCCAACTTCCCTTCTTGCACTCTCCCTTCTCCGACCCTCTGTCCGGAAAACTGGGTATGAAAGAAAGGCAAATGCTAATCCCACGCACTGCGCCTGCGCCTGCTAAGCCCAGCCCCCGCCAAGCCGACGACTCCGCCTCTCCGCCCCTCACAAATATGGCTTCCCCAGCAACAGCCCCCTCCTGCCCGGGACAGACGTGGCGGCGTATGACGTCATAGGAAGGCGCCGTAGACCCAGAGGCCGCAGGGACTACACGTGGGCTCCAAGTTGAAAACTTTCGGGCTGGGCCATGGATACACCACTTAGACGCAGCCGGCGACTCGGGGGCCTAAACCCTGAGTCCACCGGGCGCCTCACGTCACTTTCGCAGGTGAGACGGGCCCTTGTGGAGGTCGAGTCGAACGGAGGAGAAACGAGGGAGCCTGAGTCTCTTCAGGGTGTGCTGCAGCCCGGCCCATCGTCTCCTCGACTTCGGCAGGAGACGAGCCCGGGATCACCCAGTCCGCGGCAGGATGCGGGCTTGGGGCGGCCAGAGCCTGGCCCACAGTCACCCCCGCGTCAGCAAGAGGCAGGCCTGGAATCTCCTCGAAGACAGCCGGAGTTGAATCCTGAACCCCCCCAGCGTCAGCCAAAGCCATGTGGGAAAGCACCAGGGTTCCCCCAGGGCCAAGGAGAGCTGGACTTGACCTTGGCCCGGAGTAGGGAGGACCTGACCCCGGGGTCTTCCCAGCCGCAGCTGGGCCCAGAATCACCAGAGCCGCACCCTGGTCAGCAGGCGCCGGGTCCGGAGCCCTCGCGGCCACTGCAGGAGCGGTTACCGCAGGCGCCCGGCTCCCCCCGCGGCCAGCGTGAGCCAAGCCAGCCCCCTGCGGCCGGGGAGACGCAGACAGCCGGCCCCTGGGGAAAGAAGCAGCACGGTTCCTCCGCCCAGGGCCCAGCGTCCAAGAAGCTGAAGAAGGAGCAGATCCCCGTCATCCCGAAGGGGAAGCCGAAATCCGGACGGGTGTGGAAGGACCGCTCCAAGAAGAGGTGAGGCGGGGGACAGCCTGAGCAGGGGCGAGGTGCCTCTCTGTGCTGCTGGGGCCCTGCCTTGTCCCTGGGGCAGCTTGAAGAAGACAGACGAGTCGGAGGAGAGGTCCGCAGACCGGCAGGTATAACCAGAACGTGGCAGTGTGCCCTGGGATGCCAGGGCTGGTGAGCGCAGGCCCTCGGCGGTCGTCTCTCTGGCCTCTCTCCTAGCCCCTTCAGCTGCGTCTTCATTCAGCAAACGCTTGCTGCTGTCTGCTTTCTCCAAGAAGGAGGCAGAAAGGATACTACTTCTTACACGCAGGGATATCTTCACCCGCCAGGATAGATTACAGTTATTTGCCTTTATGATTAAAAAAAAAATCCCTTTAGCTTCTCTCTGTAGATCTGCCCTGAATTGAACTGTGACCTTAAAGGCAGGCGTGAGGCCCCCGTAGTATGTACTCAGTAAATGTCTGTTGGGGTGAAGGAAGTGAAGTGTTGGGGCTGATGGGAAGGAGCCCTTGGGAACAAAGGGGCGGAGTCTGGCAGCTCTACCTGCTACACCCCTCCTTGGAATATTTAACGTCCATCCTGGATACCTCATCCCCTCAGGAATCCTTTCCAGTCTGTACCCAAACACAGAGGACCTCGTTTCTCCTACGACTCTGAAGTCCTCATCACTCTTAGAAAAATCTAGACTGCCCTGACACCCCACCCTCATGTCTCTGCCTGGACAGAGTGGGAACCTTACAAGGGACTGGGCCCACCATTCAGTAGTGGAGGGGCCCCCTCTGTAGGGAGTGAGTGCCCCGTCCCCAGAGGCATTCACACCCAGGCCTGCCGGTCAGCAGAGCACATGTGGCTTGGGCGCTGTGGTGACAGACAGGGGTTCAAGTCCTGCCTGTGACTCAGGAACAAGATGGGCTTGGCAGTGATTTAACATTTCTGAGCCATGGTTTGTTCCTCTATAAAGGGAGAGAGGAGGCTTGGGAAATGGCAGCTGAGCCATCAGGGCATGTCCTGGCCCGGGTGTCTGCAGACCTGGAGGGCTGAGTGCCAGGAGAGGCAGGAGCATGTGGCGAGCGGCCCACAGACCTGCAGGTGCCCCCTCTCCCCATCCCAGGTTCTCCCAGATGGTTCAGGACAAGCCCCTGCGCACCTCCTGGCAGCGCAAGATGAAGGAGCGGCAGGAGAGGAAGCTGACCAAGGAGTTTGCCCGGCACCTGGAGGAGGAGAAGGAGCAGCGTCGCCAGGTGGGGGCAGGGCAGGTGGAGGCTGGAGCTCTGGGCCGGCCGTGTCTGCTGTGGCAGGCACAGGTGCATGGGGAGGTGAACCTGGTCAGAGACATTCCCCAGCCTGGGGGAGCCAGCCAGGACAGAAGTGCGGGCTGAGCCCAGTCTGGGCCTCTTTGAGATCAGGAAGGCTGGGTGGCCTTCCCGGCTATGGGAGCCCTCGGTGTGGTGGGTCAGGGTCGATCTCCTGGGACCTGCTCAGCTGGGAAGGCCTTACAGACTGGAAACACCTTGTTGCCAATATGTGGCTGCCACTCCACACACCAGTGACATGGACAGCAGGCCTCCCCTGCGGTCCGCTAGAGGGTCACACCCAGCATCTTCAGTTTCCAGGAAGCCCATGGAACGGACGGAAGGGGGCACTCTGCAGGTAACACCAGAGAAAGGTGGTGGTGGTGGTGGCAGCGGCAGTGGCATCGCCCAGCAACGCTGCCCCACCCCCAGCACCAGGGTTATCAGGAAATGCTACTGGCCTACTGACCCCAGGAGCAAAGGAGGAGCCCTGAGCCACAGTTAACTCGCCCCTGGCCACTGAGAAAAGGGAGCAGGCCAGTCAGTGGCTTGTTGTCCCCTGCTGGGAGTCCCCCGGCTCAGCCAGCGGCACAGGGACAATGGTTGCCACCATAACCTTACTTCCTCTGGGGCCTCAGCTCCTTGGAGCAGGACACGGCTGCCCTCCTACCCTCCTTCAGGTTGCTGCTCCTGCCCAGCCCAACCTGCCCCTGTCACACTTCTCATTTCTCCCCATGGGCTGCCACTGCCCTGAGCTGCCAAAGCCAAGAGAGGCCCCTGCCCATGCAGAGGCCTTGCAGCCAACATCCCTGCAAGCCCTGCCAGGGTACAGAGTGAGCATGATCAAGAAACCCTGGGCCTTCCTGTCCCCAAAACGCACTCCCTCTGGATTCCTGTTGCAATCCTACACGTGTGTTCTCTTGCTTAGCTCCAAAAATAATCCTGGGAAGTAGGTGCCATGGTCGTTCTCACTTGAAAGGGAAGGTAGTACACAGGGACTTAGCCAGTCTCCTGTTTAGGAGGTAGCAGAGTCAAGACTGGATCCCAGGCCAGACAGTCCCAAGGCCCCTCTGCAGCTCAGCCGCTCCACCCCTCCTGGGAGCTCTCAGGAGCCCGCCCTCACCTGGCCTTGCATTCTCTGGCACGTGGGCCTCAAGGGAGAGGGAGAGCCCACCTCTTCTCCCTTGACAGCTGACGGAGAGGGAGGTATGAGGGTGGGCACTGTCTGCATTAGGAAGTTTCCTGATTGCGGACCACCCAGCCCTCCTGTGGAAGCCCCTGCCCTCCACCACCTGTCCAGGTCCCAGCGTCTGCTGTGGAGTCAGTAACTCACCCCCACCGCAGACCCTTGGGCACGGGATGTCCCCCGCTGGCCTCCCACTCACCACCAGGAACAACCTGGAGCCCAGAGAGAAGACCATCCCCTCTGTGCCCGGAAGTCTGCAGCTCTCACTCCACTGAGAAACCAGGGCCGCCTTGGCCCCCAGACTCAACTCCCCTCCCCCTGTTGTTCCAGGAGAAGAAACAGCGCCGGGCTGAGAACCTGAAGCGGCGCCTGGAGAATGAGCGGAAGGCAGAGGTCGTCCAAGTGGTGAGTGTCTCACCTCCCCCGTCCCCCTGCGGGCGTGCACACCGCAGCTGGGACGGATGTGGTGTTTGGGGTGCCTCGGCCCCCCAGCTCCACGTCCTGCTCTCACACCCCCGCGGACACCAGCCTGCTAGGGAATGGGGACAGAGACTCCAGCTGCTCTAATGCCCTCCCCTCCCCCCATTCCCAGATCCGAAACCCGGCCAAGCTCAAGCGGGCAAAGAAGAAGCAGCTGCGCTCCATTGAGAAGCGGGACACCCTGGCCCTGCTGCAGAAGCAGCCGCCGCAGCGGCCAGCCGCCAAGGTCTGAGCTCAGCACAGCCGGGCTCTCCACGGCCAACAAGCGCGTCAGCTCCTGCAGTCTCGAGCCTCTGCCGGAGCTGGCATCCAGCTCTGTGGCCCCAGACCTGGGACCACCCTAGATGGGGCTTCTGGGCCTCTTGGGCTCAGCCCTGAAGGGTCCTGGCACCTGGCAGAGACTGGGAGGAGGGAAGAGGTCGGCTACTCCCTCCCTTATCCCTCCTTCTCCAAGTGCCTTCAGACCAAGAGCAGGAAGTTCTTCTGGTTCCTCAGTATGCTGTGTATGTCCATCTCCGGGGCCTGGAGGCCAGCAGTCAGGACTCCCAGATCTGTCCCCCCATCTCCGTGCTTTCCCAAAGGCTGCTGTGGCCACCTCCACAGCCCAGTGACCCCGGCTCCGCCCCACTTTCCAACACTGAAAGATGAAAGTGGGGAGGTTCAGGGAGCCAGGCTTCTCGTGCCAGGCCCTGCAGAAGCCCCAAGAATCTAATCCGTGCTGGTCCAGTCTGTGACAGAGACAGGTACTGAACGGGTGTTGTGCCCAGGCCTGAGCTAGGCACCCGGGAATACAGTCAACAGACCACGTCGAGGAGTTTTCATTCTGATGGAGAAATGTAATAAACAAGTGGAATACATCCTGGAGCTTTTATTCTGATGGAAGAAACTTAGATAAGTGAAACATGCGGTGGCACATGGGAAAGTGCTAAGCTGGAGGGAGGCTGGGTGGCGTCTGTCTCTGCTTTGCCCGGCAGCTGCCCTGGCGTGGCCTGCCCCCATCTAGCCCAGCCTTAGTGGACCCAGCCTTCAGTGACGTCAGGAGCACTGGACCACGGTTGTCAGAGAGTTTTTCATCCCAGTTCTTCCACCAGACAAATGTCCCAGCCCCCAGCTCTATCTGTCCCTGAGAGGGAGAGTTACAGCAGTGGTCTCCACCCTCCAGTCCACGGTTCCTCCCCACTTCTCAGCCCTGGGAGCCGGGGGAGAGCCAGGTTTCCTCTCGGACCCCAGACTTGCCAAAGCCCCTAGAGTCTGAGTAACTCGTGCCCATCAGGCTGTGACAGTACTGGCTAAAAGAGGAAGTAAATACAGTGCAAATGCGAGGACAGGGACACGGGTTACTTCATCTACACAGGGTTGGGAGCGCTGGCTGGCCCCCAGCAGGTGCTACAAAGATCTTGGATTCCCAAATGCCCAGCAGGCATCCTGCAGAACACAGGCCTGCACAGGGCTCAGGGTGCCGTGGTCAGGTGAGCTGTGAGGTGCCACATTCTCCACACTAAAGACTGAAGACCATCGTACCTGGGTGGGTCCCAGGATGCTCTTTCATCCACCAGATGGTAGGTGGGCACCCTTCAGGGGAGAGAGCAGACCCTGTCCTCAGTGGCACCCAAGCTTTGGGTGATTCCCTTAGCCGGGCTCAGCCTCCTTGGCTCACCTGTAAACACTGGAATCAATGGCTGGGATAAAGCAGCCAGAGCTCAATAAACATTGGCTAAATGGCTGAGGTGGAGGAGCGAGGAACAGCCAGCGCTCTCCAAGCTTCCCTCTCACTGCTTGATATACACCCCTGGTTACACGGAACCCCAGCTTTCCCCATCCCGGGAGGTGCACCCTTGGGACTGCTGCCTTAGTTTGAGGATAGGACATCAACCTGTCACTCCAAGTGTGGTGCAGGCAAGGGGGGTGCCTGGCCCCAACACACAGCTGCTGAGCCAAACTGCACCGTAACACCGGGGAATCCTAGGCCCGGCCACGTTTGGGAAAACTACTTTAACTGACTCCCTGAGCCACCGGGAGCCACCCCGGGACCGGGAGGCTGGAGGCTGGATGTCTACGTTCTAACCGCGATGTTCCACCTCGGGTCCTACTCGGAGGTGGTGCTCACCGCCGAGTTCAGGGGTCCCCTCTCATCGCGGGCCTGGGCCTTTTGCGGGGTCGCTGCGCTGCCGCGCCTCAGCCATCCCGGGAGGCGCGCGGGGCAGAGCGCGGGTGGCAGGTGGCTGCGCAGCGAGAAGGAGGTGGCGGAGGTGGCGGTGGAGGAGGTGCGGCGGCGGCGGCGGCGGGAGTCGAGGCCGGTCTCGCTGTCGTCCAGCAGCACGCTCTCCAGCACCGAGCGCAGCGATCGCCGCAGCTTGCGCAGCACGTCGGGGCAGGTGAGCACGTAAAGCAGCGGGTTGAGCACGCTGTTGAGGAAGGCCAGGCTGGTGACGAAGGGCAGCCCGCGCCAGGCGAGCGGCCGCAGCGACGGCACCGCGTGCGCCCGCGCCTCTATCAAGCTGAAGGCGTGGTAGGGCCCCCAGCAGAGCGCAAAGGCCGCCACCACGGCGGCCACCAGACGCACGAAGCGGCCGGACCGCGGCCGGCCGCGGTGGCGCAGCTGCACGCTCACGGCCGCGTGGCTGGAGGCGATGATGACCAGCGGCACCAGGAAGGCCAGTAGGAACTTGCTGATCGCCAGGGCCGCCTGGCGCCAGTTGCAGGTGGCATCGAGGTCCGGCCCGGGGCTCAGCAGCAAGACGTTGTAGTAGCACATGATGCGCCCGTCCCGCCGCGGGATGGTGTCACGGAACACGAAGTAGGGCACGGTGTTGAGCACTGCCAGGGCCCAGAGCGCCAGGCAGAGTCGGTGCGCCGCGGCCACCGTGCGGTGGTTCTGCGCCCACACGGGCCGCACCACCTGCAGGCAGCGGTCCAGGCTGATGGCGCTGAGGAGGAAGCCCGTGGCAAACATGTTGAGGAAGAAAACAGAGGAGTGCAGCTTGCAGAAAGGGGTGCCCAGCTCCCACGAGTGGCCCACGGCCAGGAAGTAGGTGAAGAAGGGGAGGGAGGCGGCGGCCAGCAGGTCGGACAGCGCCAGGTGCAGCACCCAGGTGGTGACCACGGTCTGGCGCATGCGGAAGCCCACCAGGAAGATGATGAGTCCGTTCTCCACCAGGCCCAGCACCCCCGCCAGCCCGTGCAGCAGCACCGAGGCGTGGTCCATGTAGCGGATGCTGGAGTTGCTGTGGCTCTGCAGCTGGCTCATCTGCTCCAGGAGGGGGCACAGCGGCTTCAGCGTGGCGTTGGCCAACATGGTGGGGCCCTGTGGGGACAGGGAGGAGGCACCCAGGGGAGCGTTGTGGTGGGGAAAAGGCGCTGGGGTTGGCTGGGATGGGAGATAACATTCCAGCTCCCCCTCCTCCTCCCTGTACAACCTCAGGCAAGGCATTGACCCTCCCTGCGCCGGTTTTCTCCCCATGTGGCTTGGGTAGCAGTCCTGACAGTACCTGGCTCATAGGGTAGCTTAACTGGAAGAGTTAAATGAGTTAATACACTAAAGCGTGTAGAACGCACACAGCAAGGCTGTACCGGTGTCATGTGATTATTAAGCAAAAGATCCAAGACAGCGGGGTCGGCCACCAAGGACTCCTTTACCCACTCCCCAGAACCCCTGTGGGATGACTCTGGGCCCCGGTGGGGGAGTAGGGTCCAGAGAGGAGCAGTCTGGGCCACCCCTTCCCACTCACAGCACCCCCAACCTTGCCTCTCTGCAGATGCTTCCAGCACCCTTGGCGTCCACCATAGTGGCAGATTGAGTGTGTTGGCTGCAAAGAGAAAACTCGCCCCTCCTCCGCAAGTAGGAGAGGAAATAAGATAAGAGGAGGGCGTGAGCCCTGCAGGAGGAACCACCTGATGGGGGCCCTAGGAGCCCAGGGGCCAAGAATCTCATCCCTGCCTGCCGCAGGAAACTCAACCCTGCTCCCTCCTTGATGCCCTCAAACCCACGCCTGCTCACACAGGAGGTGCCAAGCAGCTGCTCAGGGACCTGCTGGACAAGCCAGGCTCTAGTAGAGGCACCGTGCTGGGATGTGCGTGCTCGCAGCCTCCCCAAGAACCCCAGACCCTCCAGTGAGGAATCAAGTGGGCCACTCCCTGTGGGGGTTGGGGGGTGCTCTAGTTGTGCTGGGTTCCCAGGCCACAGCAAGGATTGCAGCAGATCCTTCCAAGAGGCACTCTCATGTCACGGGTCTGCTCCATCCCATTTTACAGAACAGGAAACTGAGGCTGATATGTACAAGTACCTGGCCCAGTCACCCAAACTGCAGAACCATGTACAGGAGCAACAGTGGAGAACGCGAATGCGGCTGGGGCTCTATCCTTGCTTAGAGATAATGGGGGGGGGGGGGGCAAGAAAACTGTCGTCCAGGGTGAGAAAGTGGATTCCTCTCCAGGGACCACAGTCCTTTAGGGTAGTAACCTGACATACAAAACTGGAGTTTCCCTGGGAGACAAGGCCTTGGGGTCAAGGGTCTGCAGGCAGGTGGGAGGGGAGCAGCTGGGCCTGCACACCCTGAAAGTGGCCATAATTCCTAAGTTTTTGGGCTTATAGAGCAAATACACTCGCAATGAGACCCTATTTTTCAGAAGAGAAAACAGGTTCTGAGAAGCTCAACAACATGCCCAGTGCTCCTCGGCCGCAGCCACGGGGCTGGGACTCATTCCCCACCGACAGATAAGTGCACCACCCTCCCCACCCTGTGCCCAGAAACATCGCTTCCTGTCTGAGTCCCCTGGGGCTGCCCAGAGCGCACAGTCCTGCTGCACCCCTGGGAACCATCCAGACCTGGCCCTCTAGCTACATGGAGACAGCCCCCAGACCTCCAGGGGGTGCAGCAGCTGGGGTCATGCTTTGATAGGGAGCTGGGAGAAGAGAATACAAACTTTGGGAATCCAGGACCTGGATTTGAATCTTAGCTCTTCACCTCCTGGCTGGGTGAACTTGGATCAGTTATCCTAAGCCTGCTAGTGTAATCTTGCCACCCAAATGGCTTGCACACATTGAAAGAGACAACATGAACGGTTTACCATTGTGTTTGGCATCCAGTTAAGGTCTGGGAAAATGCAGTCCCCTCCTCTGAGCATCTAGCCTCCCCTGGTCTCTGCCTCCTAATTGGTAAGAGCCCTCTCTCCTGGTAAAACTGTGCCTTCTCTGTTGGATCCAGGGAGGCACCAGGACAACCCCATCCCTGGGCCCCCACCTCCTTACCTGAGCACAGAAAGGGCACAGGATTCCAGGCCCTGCCGAGCGAGCAGGGAGCTCCCAGCAGTAGGCAGAAGAGAGGCAGCAGGCAGGCGGAGGCAGGGAGTGAGGTTGAGGGAGGAAACCGCTCTCAGCCCCAGAGTGCGTGCGTGCTTGTGTGTCTAGGGGTGGGGTGGCGGAAGGCGGGGACAGCTGCCAAGTGTCACACTGGTGTTCAAGTCTCATTCCTCTCCATCCATGCTGGCAGTTCCTGCTCCATCCCTGCCACGGAGGAGACGTTGCAGAAGCCCCAAGAGCAGTGCACATGCACATGGTGTCGTTGCTGTGTGCACGGAAGTGGGAGCCCCAGCATGCTTTGGAGAGTGACAAGAACGAGTGCAGGGGCCAGGGGACGTCTTGACCAGCTGCCCACTGTCCCTGGGATACCCTGCCCGACACCATAATCCTCAAGAGAGGGAGCCCGTCTGGCTATTCTGGGGCCCCGTGCTGGCGCTGCCCGCGCTACCCCCGCCCCTCTCACAGGAAGGTCAGTCACTTCCCTTTGTGGCCTCAACACAGTTTTGCCACCTGGGACTGGCAGTGATCATGCCTGCCTGTCAGGTCAGGGCAAGGGTTGAGGAAGTGTTACCTGGTGCACAGTAAGTGCCCGACAAAAACAGCTCCTCTCCCTGGGAGGGAAATGGGTACAGGGCAAGGGCTACACTGCTTTTATTTTCTAAATAGGCTCAAAACCCTAGGAGACGGGCCAGCATTGTGGTGGTGCGGTAGGTTAAGCCACTGCCTGCTGAGCCAGCATCCCACATCAGAGTACCTGTTTCAAGTCCCGGCTGCTCCACTCCAATCCAGCTCCCTGCTAATGCACCTGGGAGGGCGGCAGCAGATGGCCTGAGCCCCTGCCACCCACATGGGAGACCCAGGTGGAGTCCCAGGCTCCGGGCTTCAGCCTGGCTTAGGGGAGTAAACCAGCAGATGGAAGATTTCTTCTCCCTCCCTCTCTCTCTCTCTCCCTCTCTCTCTCTCTCCCTCTCTCCCTCTCTCTCCCTCTCCAGTGTCTCCCTTCGTATCTCTGTCTTTCAAAGAAGTGCATTTTTTTTAAAGAAGCCCTAGGGGAGGGGAGAAGACTGAATCTATGCATTGGCATTCTACTGTACCCTGACTCTTTGTTTTTTAAAAAATTTATTTTATTTATTTGAAAGAGTTACAGGGAGAGGTAAAGACAGAGAGAGAGGTCTTCCATCCGCTGGTTCACGCCCCAGATGGCTGCAACGGCTGGAGCTGCACCGATCCGAAGCCAGGAGCCAGGTGCTTCTTCCAGGTCTCCCACACGAGTGCAGGGGCCCAAGGACTTGGGCCATCTTCTACTGCTATCCCAGGCCATAGCAGAGAGCTGGATCGGAAGAGGAGCAGCCGGGTCTAGAACCGGCATCCATATGGAATGCCAGCACTTCAGGCTAGGGCGTTAACCCGCTGCGCCACAGCGCCGGCCCCTACCCTGACTCTTGACCACCCTTCGATGACCAAGTGCCAAGTGTGCTGGGGTGGGGGCCACTCCTCCAGCCCAGCATCTCTTGGGAGCCGCTGGAATTCTCCCACTTATGTTACCAGAGAAATCGCAGGGTTCTTGTCTTCGTGCAAGAAAGAATTCAGGCGTGAGACAGAGAGTAGTGGGAGATAAAATAGCAAGGTTTATTAGGGAAGGGACATCCGTAAGGATGGATGGGCACCTCTCCAGACAGAGCCTGAGAGATTGGGGGGTGGGGGGTAGAGGTTACATGGTTGAGTGGAGAGATTACACCTGGCCAGACCAGGCGGGCGGCTCAGCAGAGAGGCAGAGGGCTGAGCACGCAGTCCGGTTGAGGCTGGGGGTTTTTAAGGAGATGGGTCTTTGTCTTCACACATCTCCTCCTGAAACAAAGGATTTTATGGCTGTAAATATTAAGAAGCTCCTATCTGAGTTTTCCCTTGAAGGTATCAGACAGGAGGAAGCCTAGCTGGCGCCATCCTGGGTTCAGAGGAAGGGTGAGCAGGACCCCCTAGAGAATAGGGATCAGAGCAGGGTGTTTGAAATGCAGATACTGGGCTGCATCTGGGGGGTTGTGGAAGATTTGTCAGGCAGAAGGGGCGGGGACCCCCACCTGGCAGGTTATCAGGTAGAAGGGGGTAGGGCAGAATGTGAATACCAGGCTGCCCGTGAAACATTATCAGCAGATGCATATGCTGGACATAGATGTCTTCTCTTTAGGACTTTATGTCACACACACATAAGCTCATAACTGACTTCCTACCTAGCACTTAAACAGAGGCTTCAAGCAGAGCCCAGCGCTTAATCAGGTCTTGCTGAAAGATGGCTGCTGTGAGCGGAACACAAATACAAATACAACGTTAGGAGCCGGTAACAGGCCTGCTATCTCCTGCCACGGGCAGAGCACAAGAAGCCTCCATCGCCCAGGTCACCAGCAGCAGGAGAAATGTCTGCCCTGGGCTTGGGCTTCAAAGACCAGGGCCCTGGAAACAGGGTGGACGCACCCCCTCCACTGTGCAGAAAGGACCTGCGCCCTTGCCCCAGCCAAGCCACAGCCAAGGCCAGGCAGCCCGCCTGGTAGTGTGGTGCAGTGGTTAAGGCCATGGCTCTAGGGCCTCACTGTGGTGTTGGATCCAGTACTGCCTCTTCCTAGTGGTGTGACCTTGGGCCAGTATCTTCCCAGCAGTAAATGTTTATGTTCCAGCACTTTAAGATTTATTTATTTATTTGAAAGGCAGAGTGATAGAGAGGAAGGAGGAAGGCAGGGTGGGAAGGAAGGAGGGAAAGAGAGAGAAAGAAATCTTATCTGGTCACAATAGCCAGGGCTGAGCCAGGCCAAAGCCAGGAGCTCAAAACTCCATCCAGGTCTCCCACGTGGGCGGCAGGGGTCCCGGTACATGGGCCATCTTCGGCTGCCTTCCAGACACATTAACAGGGAGCTAGATCGGAGAGTGAAGCAGCCGGGACTCAGCCGGCCCTCTGATATGGGATGCGGGCGTCACAGTGGGCGGCTTCGCTCACTTTTTCACTGTGCCACAATGCTGGACCCAAAATGTGGATTTTAAGCGGTGCTCCTGCTGCACCACCCAGAGCAGGGCTGTCGTGCAGATGGTGAATGGGACTGAGCCAGAACCCTCCCCCAACCACGGACACATCCCAGCACCAGGGCTTTAGACAGCACAGGGCATAGCCGTCGGCCCCTCTACAGGTGTTTGTGCAGTCAGAAGCCTGCCCGACCTCTCCCCGCTGCCCTGCTGAGGGTCTTCTTTCCCAGCTAACACCCTCACTCCTGTGGCCCTTCTCAGCCTTAGTGTCCAGTCTTGAAATCACCATCATAGCTTGCTTCCCAGCCCTTCGGGGGACAGCTGATTTGTAAACAAAGAAGCAGTAAAAAGTAACATAACAAACAAACCAGCAAGTGTTCCACAGAAGCAGGGCCCTGAGACATTTTCCGAGGAAAGCTCTGTCCCCTGGGACCCTGTAGTGCCCACCCCCCACCCCCTCCACCCTCTGTGGGCCTTGCCTGCCCTCTCTCTATGGGAATGGGTCTCCTCGTATGTTCTCTGAGAGCTGTGGTGGCACAGAACGCCAGGGGTGGGCAGTCAACTAGGGAGGCTCCTGCTGTGCCTCCTTCCAGGGGGCATCAGGAAACAGAGTCAGTGCTGGCCCCTTAAAGAGGAAGAGCCTCGTCCCCTAGGTAGACTGGGTGGGCACTCCCTGGCTGGGAGCAACGGACAGGAGGCTCCCCTGGTGAAGCCCTCCGAGGCGTCAGACTTGTGCCAGGGCACGGGTTGGGGTAGGCAGGGGGCCCCAAGACTGTCAGGTGCACCTTCATGGAGCTCAGGGGCCAGAGGAGGGCAGAGGCCTGGAAGGGTGTAGGGCGGCATTGGTCACCTTGGGTGTGCAGCTGAACCACCTGGAAGGCCGTGGAGGCCTGGCTGCTCGGGGTGGGCATTGTGGGGTTGCCAGTTCAGTCGCAGCACATGTGGAAAGCTGGGGGGGAGTCCCACCTTGACTTCCTGCCACCCCACGGGAGACCCGGATGGAGGACCCGGCTCCTGGCTTCAGCCTGGCCCAGTGCCAGGCATTTGAGGAGTGAACCAGCAGATGAAAGATGCCTCTCTCTGTAACTCTGCCTTTCAAATAAATAAATAAATCTTAAAAATTAATATAAACAATGTATGGACCCCACCCCCAGAGTGATTCAGCAGGTCTGGGGTAGAGCCGGGAACTTGCATTCCTATGCAGAGCCCTGGGGGAGGCTGATGCTCTTGGTCCCTGGACCACACTGAAAAGGGAGCACTCGGAGGGAAGAGTCAGGGGTCCTTGGGCCTGGGGCATTCGTAGCTCCTCCATGAGGCTCCAAGCGCCCAGCTCAGCCCTGCCCTGCTGTGTCCCCTGCCCTGGGTCCCTCTGGACTCAGAGAAGGATGCAACCATCCCCAGGGCGCAGGTCCCAGTCCCTAAAGTGCATCCTTCTCCACGTTGGGAACTCAATGTCAGAGCAGAAGGGGCACAGGGCAGGTCCTGCTCCCCTCAGCACCACCTCCTGCTGTGGAAGAGCCAAGTCGGAGCCTGTCGCCTCCCGACACACACACAACTCATCTCACTCTTCAACAACTCGGCTGCGTCTTTGCTGCCTGCGAGAGCTGTCAAGTTCCTGACCACAGCAGTCTAGGCCTCCGGTCAGCTCTGCTCACCAGTCCCAGTGCCCTCTTCCTCATGCCCACAGCTGCCCTGTGCCCTCTGTTCCCGCCTCTGTGCCGTAGTTACTCCCTGGGATGCCTTTCCCCTGCTCCTCCTGCAGGGCCCCTTCCTGAGACCATCAGCATCCCTGGCCGCAGAGTCGAGGGTCCCCCAGGCATGGGCCAGCCCACAAGGGCATTCTCGCTCTGGCCACACCTCGGGAAGCAGCTTGTTCCTGCTCCTTTCTGGCAACTTTGAACAAGTCAGCCAAAGAGGAAGTGGGACCCGCAGCCGGAAGTGATGAGGGCTGCCCTGGAATCCTCCAGCCCACAAAGGGGAGGTCCTGGAGCTGCCCGCAGTCCCCCACATGGTGTCTTGCAGAGGCTCAGGCAGAGTTACCTGGGGGGGGGGGGGCGTTGACTCCTCCCAGCTAATAAGCTCCTTGGAGCCCTGGCACCCTGTGCCTCCAGCTTTATTTCTGCTGTTCCCTCATTGCCTCCTCTCACCAGTAGGCATTTGTCAAGCTCCCCTCAGTCCAACCCTCCTCTCTCCTCATCACTAAACCAAGGGTGGCTTAATAGCGTTCCTGTCCAAATGGCCCCCACGTGCAGACCCTATGCTGTGGGTGTCACATAAATTCTCACTCTTGAGAGCAATTCTTTTTTTTTTTTTAAGATTTTATTTATTTATTTATTTAAGAGGCAGAGTTATAAAGGTCTTCCATCTGCTGGTTCACTCCCTAATTGACCACAAGAGCTGCAGCTGAGCCAATCTGAAGCCAGGAGCTTTTTCCAGGTCTCCCACACAGGTGCAGGGGCCCAAGCGCCTGGGCCATCTTCCACTGCTTTCCCAGGCCATTAGCAGGGAGCTGGATTGGAAGTGGAGCAGCTGGGACTTGAACCAGCATTCATATGGGATGCCGGTGCCACAGGCGGAGACTTAGCCTCCTATGCTACAGTACCAGCCCGCTCAGAGCCATTCTATGATTTAGGTACTGTATAGCCCCATTTCAGACAAGAAAAACGAGTCACGGAGCAGGTAAGCAACGTCTCTGAGGTCTCTAGCAGGCGAGCAGAGGAGCTTGGCTCTCTCCCAGACAGATGAGCTCTGGCACCCATGAGCCTGTAATAATGGGCAGTCGGGGTGAGCATTTGGACAAGTGGTTAAGGCATCAGTTAAGGCCCACACCCACACCAGGGTCCCTGGGCCTGGTTCCTAGCTGCAGCTCCCAATTCCAGCTTCCTACCAAAGCGCACCCTGGGAGCAGCAGGTGATGGCTCAGTAACTGGGCTCCTGCCACCCACATGGGGCACTCAGACTGAGTTCTCTGCTCATGACTTCAGCCCTGGCCCAGTCCCAGCCCTTGTGGGCACTGGGGAGTGAACTAGTGAATGGGCGTTCTCACTGTGTCTGTATCTCTCTCTCTCTCTCTCTCCTCCCTCCACCCCGTAATTAAAAGGGCAGTCGTGGCAGACTAAGTTATTTAAAAAGCAATGTGGAGGTCCATGAGTGAGGTCCACATCAGTCAGGAAACAGCTCTCTGTGTGCACCAGTTCCGTCCCCACCGTAGCCACCGTCCTCCCTGCTTTCCAGGTAGAGGAGAGAAGCAGACGTGTGACTCCCCAAGGCCCCGCTCCCGCTCCTCACGGTGAAGCCCAGAGCAGCCAGGGACGCTGCGGAAGGAAAGATGGACACAACCCTGGGGCACCTGTCTGAGGAGAGAGTCTCCCAGTGTCTCCGCCTAAGATGCTCACAGTCACCGCGAGAGACACAGAGAAACCTGCCCGAGACCACGCTAAGCTGCTGAGGTCAGGGCAGCTGGAACAGGACCAGGCAGCGGGAGGCGCCGCCCGAGAGGACGCACCAAGGACGGGCATCATGGGCTGAGTTGTCCCCGTCACCCCCACCAGAGTCATCTGTTGAATCCCCAACTCCAGGCCTCCAGAGTGTGACCGTACAAGGGGACTTCCAAAATCAGCAGGGAGGTGGAGTTAAAAGGTGAGTCTATCGGGGCCGGCGCTGTGGCGTAGAGGGTAAAGCCACCGCCTACAGTGCCAGCATCCCATATGGGCACTGGTTCAAGTCCCAGCTGCTCCACTTCCGACCAGCTCTGCTATGGCCTGGGAAAGCAGTGGAAGATGGCCCAAGTGCTCGGGCCCCTGCACCCGCGTGGGAGACCCGGAAAAAGCTCCTGGCTCCTGGCTTTGGTTCGGCGCAGCTCTGGCCATTGCAGCCAAATGGGGAAGTGGATGGAAGACTTTTATCTCTCTCTCTCTCTCTCTCTCTCTCTGCCTCTGCTCTCTGTAACTCTGCCTTTCAAATAAATAAATAAATAAATCTTAAAAAAAAAAGTGAGTCTATCTCAGTGCAGAAAATGTTTTCAATCCATGCACAGCTTTTCCATAACAGGTTCTCCACGAACTTTTTGGAGACCCTTTGTATTCAGAGACGGGGCCTTTTAGAGGTGTTTGAGTGACAGTGAGACTGCTGGGCTGGACCCTACTCCTGACTGAAGAGGAACTATGGCCACAGGGAGAGAGGCCAGGGGCCTGCCTGTGTGCTCAGAGAGATGGGGAAGATCCTGTGTAGATTCAGGGAGAAGGCGCCACCTACAGCCATCGGGGGAGGACTCAGAGGAAACCAGGCTTGGCCATCCAGCCTCCAGAACCCTGAGAAAACAGGCCTCTGTGGTTCAAGTCACCCAGTCTGTGGACTCGGTTAAGGAGGCCCGTGCTGATACACTGCCAAAACCTACAACCTGGGCGGGGAGCGGGGGGAGAGGGTGTTTGGCTTACCCGCAGTGCCACGGTGCCTGCATCCCATATGAGTGCCTATTCAAGTCCCGGCTTCTCCACTTCTGATCCAGCTCCCTGCTAATGCACCTGGGAAAGCAGCAGAAGATGGCCCAGGTCCCAGGGCCCCTGTACCCATGTGGGAGACCCGGAAGAAGCTCCAGGCTCCTGGCTTGGGCCTGGCCTACCCCCTGCTGTTGTGGCCATTTTGGAGTGAACCAGCTGATGAAAGATCTCTCTGCGTGTGTCTCTCCTCTCTAACTCTTTCAAGTAAATAACTTTTTTTTTTTTAATCAAATGCCACTGAGGGCACCCGCGTCCCACATCAGAATACCTGAGCCCAACACCCGGCTCTGCTGCTTCCTGGGACGCAGCGGTGATGGCTCGGTTCACTGGGCGCCTGCCATCCACCTGGGAAACTTGGATTGGTTCTGGGCCCTTAGCTTCAGTCCCCAGCCCAGCCAGGGCTGTTGTGGGCATTTAGGGAATGAAACAGTAGGTGGGAGTTTCTCTTCTCCTCTCCTTTTCCTCTCCTTCTCCTCTCCTTCTCTCTCTCTTCTCTCCCTCTCTCCTTCTCTCTCTCTCAAAGTAAAAGAAAAAGTATCACCTGAATCCAATCAGAAGGCAGCACCGGACAAATCCAACCTGCGGGCCGCTCTGCAAAGTACCCAGTCTGTCTGCAAAACTGTCAGGGGCACAGAACACAAAGGGACATGGGGGGGGGGCAGCCCAGGGGGAGGGGGCAGAAGGGACTGCCGGATCCCGAGCCTGAGCCTGGCGGGGGACCCCAGACCTAGAACAACAACAACAAAGCACTCTTAGCCATAACTCTCACTATCAGAACAATTGGTGACTGTTTAGTGAGATTGTAGATTAGATACTGGTGTTTACAACAATGCTGATTTCCTAATATGGTTACTTCTTTTTAAGGAAATACACACATGAAGAAGTACTTGGGGGTAGAGAGGACTCTGTTATGTCTGCAACCAACTCTCAAATGTGTACAGAGAAAGCCAGCGAGCTGCAGCAAATGTGAAAAACTAACCATTAGCATCTGAGGAATCTGGGAGATGGCTACATGCACATCCTTTTCTGTGAGCCTGAAGTTATTTCAAAATGCAAAGTTCCTCACCAGCCACTTCCCCCTCCAGTCTCATCCCCTCCCAGCGACTTCCCTCCCCACACTCCCGGCTCAAATCCAGTCCCTTGCTCTGGGCCTCTGAAAACCTTTCCCCACCTCCTCCCCGCCAGTTCCCTGTGCCCACCCCACGACCCCACCTGCAGCCTGGCCACTGCTCCCAGGGCCACCCATAAGCCCCTTCAGCTGAGCTCCAGCCCCAGCAAAATTCATCATGGCCGAACACCGAACCATTACCCAACACGAGTCAGCCCGCCCTCCCTCGGCCTCTTCCAGTCCTGTCCACCCAATGAGGCCAGCATCTGGGCAGCCAGGCCGCAGCAGGCAGGCTGGGAGAGGCAGAGGAGAAAGGGAACACGGGAGGCAGGCGTTGGGCAGAGGCCACATCATTTCCTGTAAGCCTGCGATTTACAAAGGGGACATCAGAGCTTCAGAAAAATGACAGGTGCTGGGTCACAGCTTAGGGTCTCCTCCGGGGCTGAATCAGCCCCATGCCCTCTGGGCTGCTGCAGATAATATTAACCTGTGCTGCTAACGTGGGCCATCTGTAGACTGCCAGGGCCTGGGCCGTGAATCGGGCATGGAGAGTGCGTGGGTGATGGGCTCACGGCACGCAGTGGGACAGCCTTGCTTATGGAGAAAACCCAAGAAGCTGGTACAGAGCTCCCAGGGAGTCCACACCCATTCCCTGACTAGCAGCTCACATTAGCACTAGGTATTTATTACAACTCATGAGCCAGTGCAGACACACTAGGATTCACTAACGTCCATTTCCTTAGCTTTCACCTAATCTGCTCTGTTCCGCCCTCCCACCCGGGATCCCCCGTTCATGTAGCTGGGGCACGTTGAACATCCCTTATCTGAATGCCTGGGATTCTGGAATGCTTGTGTATCCACGAGACAGCTCAGGGCTGGGACCCAGGCCGAAACCCAGAATTCCTCCAAGCTTCGCATACATCTCATACACGGTGCCTAAAGGTAGCTTATACACTATTTTCAGTGCACCTGCACTTTGACAGTGTCGCCTGAGGTCTGGCGTAGAATTTTCCACTTGGGGGACGTTTTCCACTTTGGGTTTTGGGCATCTTGGATCTCTGGCCTAGGGATGCTCCATCTGTGAGCCACTGATTAGCAGTGGCTCTGTGCGGTGCCACGAGGTCATTTCCTCACCTGTCAGCCCATCCCCCATGAGGGCAGGGACCCTGTCCCCCTGCTCTGGCTTTCCTGGGGAAGCAGTCTGCCAGCCTGCAGCTCCCCATGGTCCCGAGACCCACGGCAGGCAGGAGGCCTGGAGAGGCCGCCTGGGCAGGGAGGCAGCGGAGCAGCAGGCCCCGAACCCTCCAGAACCACATGCAGGCACAGCTCCTGTCCCATTGCTCACCTGTAGCCTCACCGTTCCTGGAGCCCCCCTCCTCCCCAGTTAGAGCCACAGCTATTCCTGCTGAGCAGCAGCAGCCCCCCAGCTGCAAGGGAGAAGGCCAGGGCAGGGGCCGAGGGCAGCTTGCAGAGCAGCCCCACAGAGCCGGGCTGGGAAGGTGCCTTCCCCTGACTTTAGGGTAGGAGTTTCACCACAGCCCCTAGTGGCCAGGTGGGTGTGCCCCCAGGTGGCGCCCCTTTGCCTTTAGTGGCATCCACTTGCTGCCTCTCTCATATAAGGCTGAGGCAGGGCTGTTGTGTTGTCTGTGTGCTAGTACCCAGCAGGAGATTCCACCATGACTGGGGGTCGCCTGGTGGCCCTACTACTGCTGGTGGCGGCCTCCCTGGGGCTGGGTCAGCAGCCACACCCTGAGCCCGGCCTCCCAGGCCTCCAGTACAGCTATGACTGTGGGATGCGGGGCATGCAACTGGTGGTGCTCCCCAGGCCGGGCCGGACTATCCGTTTCAAGGTGGTGGGTGAGTGTTGTGTTGTGGAACCCAGAGCCATCCCCCTTGGGAGCAGGAGTGAGAAAAGCAGGGGCTCCCTCCTGCCTGGGGATGCCAGATCCCAGCCCCTCACCTTGTAACGGGGATGGGGAGAGAGCGTTGCCTCCTCCGACTCCCGGGTTTGCCCAGGAGAATTCTGCCCCATCAGCGTACACAGGCCACACCTGGCCACCTTCCTGAGGTCCTGATTCAGCAGAGGGCTGGGGCAGGGCGGGCTCTGCACATCTAACCACACCAAGTGGGTGCCGAGGCTGCCACCTGCAGCCCACTCTCCGAGTGGATGTGGCCTGGTGTCGAGAATCGAGAGTGGGGATTTGGAATCGGGATTTGAATCTGCAGCTTCTAGGCTGTGCCATCTTGGGCGTCTGAGCTGATTGACCTCTGTCGTTCCCTCGTCTGCACCGTAGGAGAGATGACGCCTGCTCTGAACGGGAGTGCAGGGGGCGTGCCCACCTAGAGGGTGTCCTGGCTGCTCTGGGGTAACAAGGGCAGGAGGACGGGGAGAACACCCAGCAGGTGTGCCCAGGGGACTGCTGCAGCCAGTTAACTCAAAGAACAGGCTCGGCTCTTTCTACAAAACCCTGGGCGCGTTCCGCCGGCGCTGTGGCTCAATAGGCTAATCCTCCACCTTGCGGCGCCGGCACACCGGGTTCTATTCCCGGTTGGGGCGCCGGATTCTGTCCCGGTTGCCCCTCTTCCAGGCCAGCTCTCTGCTATGGCCAGGGAGTGCAGTGGAGGATGGCCCAGGTGCTTGGGCCCTGCACCCCATGGGAGACCAGGAAAAGCACCTGGATCCTGGCTCCTGCCATCGGATCAGCGCGGTGCGCCGGCTGCAGCGGCGGCCATTGGAGGGTGAACCAACGGCAAAGGAAGACCTTTCTCTCTCTGTCTCTCTCTCACTGTCCACTCTGCCTGTCAAAAATAAAAAAAATTAAAAAAAAAATTAAAAAAAAAATATTAAAAAAAAAAAAAAAAAAAACCTGGGCGCCTCAAATCCTGGTTCTGCGCCTCGCTGTGTGTGCCCCAGGATGTCCACCTCCCCCTGCCCACAGATCGTGAAAAACCAGGCTTACAGGAAATGATGCAGCCTCTGCCCAACACCTGCCTCCCATGTTCCCTTTCTCCTCTGCCTCTCCCAGCCTGCCTGCTGCGGCCTGGCTGCCCAGATGCCACAGCAAGCCAGGGTGCAGAGCTGTGCTGTTGCCACGCCTCCCGGGTGGGGGTCTTTCCAGCAGAGCCCAGCAGCCCTCACTTCCCCCTTCGGCAGCCTGCCCCCACTTCCTCTACCCCAGATGAATTCGGGAACCGGTTTGAGGTGAACAACTGTTCCATCTGCTTCCACTGGGTCAGCGCCGAGCCCCAGGCGCCCGCCGTCTTCTCTGCTGATTACAAAGGCTGCCACGTGCTGGAGAAGGTGATGTGGGGCAGGGAGCAAGCCCCCCCTGGGCTGGGGAGGGACTGGAGCCCAGGTCACCAGGGGAGTTCGGGGCCAGGGTAGGGCAGTAACGGACATCTAGTCCTGGGCACAGGCCCTTCCCCGGGCCCACCACAAATCCCGCTCAGCTCTGCCTGGGATGCCAGGTGGCCTCGCCTCGCCGCTCACGGCCCTCTCATCTGCAGGAGGGGCATTCCCACCTGACGGTGTTCATAGAAGCAATGCTGCCTGATGGTCACGTGGAGGTCGCACAGGAGGCGGTTCTGATCTGTCCCAAACCTGGCCACACCTGGGCCGTGGGTTCCCACCAGGTGCCCCCCACCACGCCCTCGCCTACTACCCACCATGCTCTCCCCTTCCACCTCTCCTCAGCCCACACCTTCCCCAGCCCTCTGTACCTGGAGCACAGCCTCATGCTCCCAACCCCTGCTGGGCCCTCCCTGGGACCTGGCCCCACCCCCGCCGTGCTGGCTCAGGTGGAACGCTGGGAAGTGGACAAGCCGGATGCCGTAGGTACGCAGGGCGTGCGTGTGTGTCTGTGTCCTCTGGCTGGTGCCTTCTAGAGCGTGGGGTGACCTCACAGCCTTGTGCTGGTCCTAAGGGGCCACTTCTCTCACCAGCTTGTCTCCAACCCTAGGTAGCCATCTGCCCCAGGAGCGGTGCCAGGTGGCCTCTGGGCACATCCCCTGCATAGCGCAAAGCAGCTCCAAGGAGGCCTGTGAGCAGGCCGGCTGTTGCTATGACAGTGCCAGGGAGGTGCCCTGCTACTATGGCAACACAGGTACCGCCTCCAACACTGAGTCCCACCCTGGTCCCCCGGCTGAAGCTCAGCCTCGCACGCAATGACCCCCAGAGTGGGTTGCAGAAGGGCCCTTTAGCTGGGTGACCGCACACCCTAGCTTGCCTTCTAATAGCTGACCAGGGGCACCATAAGTGGACCTGTTTATCTTTCTGTCTGAAACAGGAGGGTGGCTGACAAAGTGCCCTGTGACCACATTTTCAAGCTGTAATCTAGCCCTTGCGTCCCATGGATGAGAAAGTTGGTCCACAGAGGGTTTCTCAAGCCTGGCTTGAATGGAGGGCAAGAGAATCCAGGCCCCTGACATGTAGGCTGAGGCCAAAGTAGCCATGCCACCCAGCTGAAGGCTTGCTAACCCAAGGCCCTGGCCTGCCTTTGCCCCAGCTACTGTCCAGTGCTTCCGAAACGGCTACTTCATCTTGGTTGTTGCCCAAGAAATGGCCTTGGCACACAGAATCACGCTGGCCAACGTCCACCTGGCCTATGCCCCCACGCGCTGCTCCCCGGCCCAGAAGACCAGTGCTTTTGTCATCTTCCACGTCCCCCTCACCCACTGCGGCACCACAGTTCAGGTAGCAGCGGGGCCTGAGGGTTGTGGGCGGTGCTGGGTCCTGCCCCTGGGAGGGCCTCAGCCAGCTGTCTCCTCCCAGGTGCTGGGGAGCCAGCTCTTCTACGAGAACCAGCTGGTGTCTGACATCGATGTCCGGGAGGGGCCGCAGGGTTCCATCACACGGGACAGCTCCTTCCGGTGAGGCAGACCCTCTAACGGGCCCAGCAGTGGGCTTGGGTGTGAGGGACCACAGGAGAGCCTAGGACAGGCTTTGTTCAAATCCAGGCTCTGCTACTTACCTGGCCCTGCAACCTTGGCTCTTCCCAGCCACCCTAGTGGGCAGGGGAAGGGCCCCCTTCCAGGGCTGGGTCTGCCCCGGGTAGCTTAGCTAACATCAAGTCCCAGAGGACTGGAGTCCCTCAGGCCCTGCTCTACCCCTCTGAGATCTAAGCTCAGCAGCTGAGGCTGTTGCCACCTCCTGGTCTCGGGAAGCCAAAGAGGAGGCAGAAGGTGGCTCAGGCTGAAGTTGAGGATGTGGTGGAGGGAGGAGCTAGGGGAAGAGCCCCTCATTGAAAGGGGCCTCCAGACCTGCTGGCCCTGTTGCACAACCGTCTCAGCTGCCCAGAGGCCACTGGGGCTGACTCCAAGAGAATCGGTCCTTGTCACACCTGGCTCAGAGCCCCCACCCCCCACACCTCCTTGCTACTGTGACCCGGGGCGAGGTGCCAGCTTCTGCTTGTTTTCCCGCATCAGAGCTAAGGCGTGAGCCACGGGATGTGGAAACTGCACTTGGGGCCATGTGGATGCCCAGGCGTCTCCTTGTTCCCAAGTTGCATGCACGAGCCTGGGAGGGCAGAGGACTGGTGTCAGGATTCAAGTGTCTTTGTCTTAATCACTAAGCGGCTCTGGGCTGGGAGGCAGGGTAACAAGTCTACGCCAAGCTTCAGGCCCTTGGATTTAGAGGCTTTGGAGGGCAATGTTCATCACCATCTTGCAAATGAAGACACCAAGGCTTAGGTTGAACAACTTAGCTAAGCTTCATACAACAGAGCTCCTAGGCCTACCCACCAGGCTCCACTGACAGGCTGCGAGGGACTCGAATGCCAGAACAAGGCAGGCATCTGGGCAGCCTGGCCAGGCCAAGTGCCAGTCTCCTGGGGCTCCTTCTCATCTTAATCCTGCACAAACCTGGAGCCAAGGCATGACATAATGAGCTTGAGATGTCCTGGGAAGGCCAGGTGGGCAGAGGATGGGGCAGGGCGAGCTTCCTGGGCCACCTTACTAAGATGTGATGGCTCGGGAGCATCTGCTGCCCCGCGAGACAGTACAGTGCCCGTGTTTGGATCTATGCAGTTGGTACCTAGTCTACATCACCAGAAACTGACTGTCCTTCTCTCATCCTCTCACGCTGGGACTTGAGGCTTCTCGTCCGCTGTATCTTCAATGCCAGCGACTTCCTGCCCATCCAGGCGTCCATCTTCTCACCTCCACTGCCTGCCCCTGTAACTCAGGCTGGCCCCCTGCGCCTGGAGCTACGGATTGCCAGGGGTACCGTGTCCCTGCTTTTTCCTCCAGCCCCTACTTTCCGGATGCACAACTTGCCCTCGGTTCACGGGTCCCTGTCCCCACAGATGAGACTTTTAGCTCCTTCTATGAGGAGGAGGACTACCCCCTCGTGAGGCTGCTCCGAGAACCGGTACACGTGGAGGTCCGGCTGCTGCAGAGGACAGACCCCAGTCTGGTGCTGGAGCTGCACCAGTGCTGGGCCACTCCCAGTGCCAACCCCGTCCAGCAGCCCCAGTGGCCCCTCCTGTCAGACGGGTGAGTGGCCCGAGTGGCCAGGCTGCCCTGAGGATTCCCTCCCCACCCACCTGCCTCGCCTCACAGAGGCAGCCACCCTGACTGCTGTCCTTCCCAGGTGTCCTTTCAAGGGCGACAGCTACAGAACCCGAGTGCTAGCCTTGGACCGGGCAGAGCTGCCCTTCCGGTCTCATTACCAGCGTTTCACGGTTGCCACCTTCACCTTCCTGGACTCGGGCGCTCAGCGAGCCCTCAGGGGACTGGTACGAAGCACCCACAGTCCTTGTGCCTGGCCCAGGCTTAGTGGGGTTAAGGGAAGGGGACTGACTATCTAGCGATGAGATGGGTCCTGGCTTCAGGTCAGGAGGAAAGAGCGCTGCTAAGTGTGGCTGCAATCGATCCAAAATCCGCATGCTGGTCAGTGTTCTAGAGTGCTCATGCTTCTGATTCTAGAAACACCTAATGTACTTCTGCTTTGAAGTTCTTAGAACTTAGAACTTCTCCAGAAGGTCCAAGTAGATAAGCTGAGGGTATATGTAGGTGTTCCATGTGACATACAAGTGACCCCACAAATGACACTGTGGCATAGCTTGTTCTATCGCGTGAGGGGTCGTATCTCACGCAGACATGTCTTTAAATCGCTGCCCATCATCCTGTCAGATGGAGATGGAGTTCACTGGTAAGCACCACCAGGGAAGGCTTCATTCTCAGCTTGGCCTTTGCTGCCTCCTGAGCCAGGAGACGCTGCCCTGTAGGAAGAAGGGTGCCCGTGGGTGGGGCCCTGGGTGCTGGATCAGGTCCATTCCTCCTACTTCTACCCTTTGGAGCTACTTCCCTTGGGTTTCTGGAAGCAGCTGTACCCTGCCTTCCCTCTGCCCCTGCCGCTGGTCTCTGAGGGTCAGAGGGTGGGAGCCACAAATATTTGCACTCTGGCCAAGCCCTGCCTCTCTGGAATTCCATCTGGTGGGCAGGGCAGGTAGAAGGGAGCGATCCTGGGGCACTGAGGTTGCAGGCAGCGTGGGAGGAGCAGGCTTAGGGCTGGGGCTCCACCAAATGCCACTCTGCCTGCAACGTCCTCCAGTGCAGACCGGGACCCTCGGGAGGAGGAGGACATGGATTCCATGTTGGGAAGCAGCAGGTGCAGCTCTGTACCTTGCCAGCATGGGCAGCAGCTGCAGCCTTGACTGGCCCTGCTCCTGGGTCCTGCGTCTGCCTCCACCTCCTGCCTGGTGGCAGAGCCAACCCCACACCGTGGCATCCTTCTCCCACCAGGTTTACTTCTTCTGCAGCGCCTCAGCCTGCCACCCTTCAGGGCCAGAGACTTGCTCATCTACGTGTAGCTCCAGGACTGCCAGTGAGTCGGGTGGGAGCACACACGTCCTCGGGCCTGTGCCTGGGCTCTGAACCCCAGGGGCTGGAAGGGGAGTCCAAGCTCCTGTTCTCCCCTGGACAGAACGCCGACGATCCTCAGGTTACCATGACGGCACCCCCAGGGCCCTGGACATCGTGAGTTCTCCAGGGCCAGTGGGCTTCCAGGATTCTCACAGGCAGGAGCCCACACTGGAGTCCACAGGTACAAGGGCTGGTGGGCTGGCCCTTTAAGTCCTCAGCCCCTCCAAGATTACTGACAAAGTGGGAAAGCTGTAGCTTTCGTGAGGGCAGGAGGTGGCGCAACTGGGAACTAGAGATAGCCCCAGGTCACCTTATCTGCAGTGAGACAGCTGCGGTGCTGCCTGGTGCGAGGACCAAGGTCTGGTGTGCAGGCGAGGTTGGAGGGGCAGCACCCAGCCCTGCCACCCTTCAAATCCTTTCTCTGCAGGCTCCGGCAGGAACTCCAACCCGAAGCCTCTGCTCTGGGTGGTCCTTCTGCTGCTGGCCGTTGCTTTTGTCCTGGGGATTGGTGTCTTTGTGGGCCTGAGCCAGGCCTGGGCCCACAAGCTCCGGGAAGGCCACAGGCTCACCGACCAGGCTCAATAAACCGCTGTTGCAAACCTACAGAAGGCAGGTGTGAGAAGCTGTTTGTGATAACTAGAATGGAACTCTTTAAGAACTTCGTTCCTTAGACTCTGTGCTGGTCTTTCAGCATTGTGGCCTCTGTTATACATAGTTACGTGTTACCTAACCACGGGGATGGACACCTTCTGAGAAACATTGGGCAACTGTGCCATTGTGCAAACATCAAAGTGCACTCACACGCCTAGGGGGACAGGTCAGCCACCAGAGCTGACCTCCTTAGGGAACACGGTGACACAAGATGGATGAGGCTCTGCTGGTCTGACACGGCACACTGCTTTATGGAAACTTTCTACAAGCTGGACAAAATACACAGTAAATACAAACAGTAATGAGAGTAAATGCCCAACCCAGGGACACTTACCGCGTATTACCTGCTGTCCATACATGCGCGTGCTGCGAGTCCTCTTCTGTGACTGACAGTGTGCTAGGTTTCTCTACCAGCGTCACCACGCACAAGGGATGTGTTGTGCTATGACGTGGCAACAGATGTGACGTCACTAAGTGACCGGAATGTTTCTACTCCGTTATCTTATGGGACCCTCATCCTGTGAGTGGTACTGCTGGCTGAAACCCATGGCACACTACTTAATACGTACCACACCCTGGAGATAGACTGTCTCCCTCGGCAAGGACAGTGGCAGTCCAGGCAGAGAACACCACAGACAAGGGGACAGGAGGGTCAAGACATGGCCGATTCAACAGCCACAGCTGGGCAGCAGGAGGCTGGCAAGAACTGATGGCCCAAGAAGGTCATCACCTTCCAGCAGACTCAGGCATTCTGATGGGGACATCCTCCTAGCCCCAGTGTGGCTGCCAGTTTCCCAGGGACAAAGGAACTAAACCCGAGTAGAGGGAGCTCCTCCCAGGGCCTGCCAGGTATTCCAGGAGGCCGGGCTGCACTTGCCCTCCTGTCCCTTCCTGTGGGCCTGAGGACAAGGCCACCAGCCAGGCCAGCAGCAGCATGGAGCGTGCTGCTGACTCACTGATCTGCATCTGACCTGGGCCTTTGTCTCTCACGTGGCAGCAAAGCCCTTCAGACTGACAGGTGGCTCTTCCAGGATGGCGATGGGAGCAGATGTAGGATTCTGCCTTGGGGGAATGGGTAGAGAATCTGGCAGGGAAGCCTGACCTTGGCTCCAGGAAGGGCATGGGCTTAGAGGGTACAAAGGAAACCAAGGCGCTTCTGCCAGCCAGTGACCTTGGTTCCACACGAGTGCCCCCAAGACACACACACACATGACTGGCCCACGCCACGTTTTCTGTCTTCGGGTACCCAGGCAGCCCGAGTTACAGCCTCTGCTGCTTACTAGTTGTGTGATGTTAAGCGAGCCGCTGACCTTCTCTGGGCCTGTTTTCCTCATCCATATGTTGGATAAAGTGAGGTAACTGATCGGAACACTCAGAATAGTATGCCGATTTACGTTTATTGAGTGCAATTAACTACTAACTAGAACTTCTCTTCCCCAAAGCTAACGCTTACCTAGTTTTCTTTCTTTTCTTGAAATGAGGACATGTTTACAAGTTGAGATGAGGGGCCCAGGGGAAAATGCTTCCCTCAAACTTCCTCAGAGGTAGATGGAACACGAGCCTTGTGGGAATCCACTGGGTAGCTGCTCTGTCAGGGGCCAGAGGGGCCAAGCCCGGTTCTTGGTTTACATCAGGAAGTGGGATCTGTCTTCAGGGCGCAGAAGTGAGGATTCATAGGTAGGTTGGTTGGTTCAAGGAGCAGGCTGACCCACTCATGGGACCAGGGTTCTGGTTCCAATGGTGTCAGCTCTTCCTTCTCACCCCTCCCTCCACCCCACAAATTCACTGCAAGTATTCCAAACAGCCTGGGAGCCTGCTGCTCCAACACCGCAGTATCCTAAAGGTCCAACTGGAGTCTCATTACACAAATGCTTTTTCTAACATGAGGGTAAATGACATCTTGTGTCACTTCCTATCATTTCTAACACATGTGGTCTCCAAACCGTGGTTGAACTAGGATCTACTTGATCTCTCAATAGAAAGCCACATCTGTTAAGGGGAACACGTTGAGCAGTTATGTAAGCATGCGACTCTTTGTATGCCGTTTCCTCCTTACAAAGTCTCAGGATGAACTCCTGTGTCAAAAGCCGTATCCTTTAGGACTGCTGAGCTGGGGGATATCCCATGGCCTTGCCTCGCAGATCTGTCACCTTGAATCTCTGCTTATCTGAGCAGCATCAGGAAATGGCATCACTATAGAATGGATTCTTTAATTAGAAGCCAAGTATCTTTAAAGCTAAACTTTTTTAAAATAAAAGATCATTTATTTTAAAGTCAGAGATCCTTCATCCGCTGGCTCACTCCCCAGATGGCTACAACGCCAAGGCGGGGCCAGGCCGAAGCAAGGAGCTTCATCCAGGCCTCCCACATGGGTGGCAGGAGCCCAAACACTTGCTTTTCCCAGGCCATTAGCAGGAAGCTGGATTGGAAGTGGAGCAGCCAGGACACAAACTGGGATGCTAGCATTGCATATGACGGCTTTTCCCACTACACAACTATACTGTTAACTGTACTGCACCTTATAAATTGCCTTTCCTGTTCTCTCCAGAATTCCTTCTTTCCTTGTCTGTAAAGAACATTCACAAACCAAGGCATCAACATCCTCATGAAGTTCCCAGCAAATTGGCCGGTGGCTTTTCTGGGGTTCTGGCATCTTTGTTCAAGAGGATTCTGTAACGGTATTTGTCTCCTGGAACGTGGCAGGGAGCTCCCCTTTGCTAAGCAGTCAGGGAAGCATCTATCCGCTCTTCTGTGATATGCCTGCAGCGATGCTACTGTCTCTCTCCTACTTTCAAGCAGACACAGGTATGGGGCTTTTAAGAGCTAACTATGCAATCAAAATTTACATTGTACCTAGATTTCTGTCAACAGGTCCATGTCAAAGGATTATGTTTACAGAAACACAGATCAATGACGTTCACTGCGGCACCAGGTTCCCTGTACTTTCTCCAGAAGCAACCTAAGCCTTTCCTTGCCTAGATCTCAAAATCTAGAGTGAATTTGGTCTAATGACAACGCTCTCCCTCCCCACTTCTACCTCCAAGTGTGAGGGGCACCTGGGCCGTAAGAACATGTGAGTCAGGCCTGATGGGGACGATAACAAACCAAGCTTGCTGACCTGCGGCAGGAAGCAGAGCTGCTCAGGCTCCATAGGTTTTATCTCTTCCTGCCCCTTGAGCTACAGATACGTGAGAGCCAAGGGGATACCTACCTCTGCACCCTCCACCCCCTACTCCCACACATTCACACATCAGATCAAGCTAAGTCTAGGTGCTGTGCCTCACATCAAGGGGGAAGTATACTTCTCAGCCTGTTACTTCGGCTTAAGCAAAACTTAACTCCTTGAAGTGTGGCTCCGTATCCAAGTGTTTCTGTAAGAACATTTCATTGCAGAAGTGCCACTTCCAATCTCCCAGCAGGAGGATTAGCTACTTGGATCAATCTTCTGAAACAATTCAAATACCAGATTATAAATCACAAAAGTATATTTAAATTATTGCTGAACGTGGGAGAGGAAGGGAGTGTGGGGAGCGACTCGGACTAGACTAAGTTACTGGAATTAAGACTTATTCTATGCATCTGCTCTCCCACAATATGGCGCTGGGAGAGGAGTAAACAACTTTTACACAGCTGCCTCCAGTTCAACCAATAACCTGCAGGAGCTGATCCTGCTCCTGATTGGAGGAGAGCAGCGTACTCGGTGTGTGGGTAGTAGAGTTGGGATTGGTGGAAGAGGACTATAAAGGAGGAGAGAGACAACATGCACCAGGAACATCCAGATAACATCTGAGCAGCCCCCGAGAGCCGGCAGGCGGTGTGCCGCTCCCCCGCGGAAGTGGGGAAAGTGGCAGGGGGAGCCGCCCTTCCACGGAGGTGGAAGGATCGGCAGCCAACCAGGGAAGGACCAGCAGCAAACCCGGGAAGGGCCGAGCAGACAAAAGAACAGCGCAGGGTCCTGTGTCGTTCCTCCGCGAATGGGGGAGCGACAAGGGAGAGGAATGCAGATAAGCCAAAAATGAAGTAAGAGCCAAAACTCTCAGGGGTTCTGGGAACTTCTATAGAATCCTGCAGCCCATGAGTTTCTGCTCCAATGAGTACAGGGCACTGCAAATCAAGCCCAGAGCATGCCAACGGCAGGAAGTCTAGATGCAGGCCTCCTAACAAGCCCGGGACCCAGAGGGCTCAGTCCTTGGTGTGAGGGTGAAGCACAAATAAACCCACTGTAGGAGACAGGCAGCAATGAATTCCGCCTCCCTTGATCTTGGATAAAGATCACCCCTGAGAACTCAAAGTGCAGTCCCTCTGTGTACTGTGTCCAACTTTGTAGACTAAGAGGAGGAAGAAAGAGGAACCCTCAAAAGCTCAATGTGGGAGAAAAATCTTCCAGGGCTGAATCTAACTGAAAGTAGCCCCCAGCTTAAGGCCAGAGCAGACACAAATCCTGTCTGAGAATGATTTCAGCCAAGGTCTCAAACAATTCTCACAGATAAAGTTACAACTAAAATGAGCACCTCACAGCCAGAAATCACAAAGGCAAGAACGGGGAGAATTACAACACATCACTGACAGAGAATTACACACACACACATGCACAAACACAAACACGTATTTAAAACTGCTAATAATCAGGAAAAAGACAGCATAAACAGAAAATCAAGCAAAGGCACAGACATGTCCCAAAAACTGCGATGGCCTGGAAGCGACTTCAACAGTAACCATGGATGTGAAGTCAGACTTCAGGATACTATTCTGTACCCACCAGATGGGCAAGAACTAAAAGGTCTGAAAACATGAAGTGTTGGCGAGGGGGCGGGGCCGGGAGCTCTCACCCAGTTCATCAGAAGGTAAACTGGGACACCCATGTTGAAGCACAGTATGCCACTGCCTGATACCATTACATAGGAAGTCCTGCTCTGGGCCAGCGCCCTAGGAAA